ATCACAGGATGTGGAATCAATCTCTTTAGACTCTAAAGATGATAATCCGATTGAACACTCTTGCAGTAGAATTGCAGAGTCTCAAAGCCTCAAGCTCCTTTCCCAGAACCCCTCTGGATCTTCACAATCTGGCCCCAGCTCCTGCTTTGAGGTAGCAGCTTGGTGGTTCCCACTGCCTCAGCTGGCATCCTCACTGTAACCCCAGTGTATGAGAGAGACAGAGGTCTCATAATCTGTGCTGCCTTTCTGGTGATCAAAAGGCAAAACATGAACAAGTTAAAATTATTTCTATATTGCAACCTCCCAAACTTGTTACTTAGGGTTATGCATTAGAATTATCACTCCTTCTTCCCCTTTTCTTTTGGGAGATAGCCCAATCTCAGTAGAGCTAAACAAAATCAAACTTTATTAAAACAAAAAAGAAAGATAAACTATAACATAGTTTTTAATTTTAAAAATTCAAAATGCAAACACCCAGTAGTGAATGAGAACAATCACAGTGCTATTCAGATTACAGATTAAAAAAGAAAATGCTCCAAGCAGTCCACAGGATGTTAGAGAAAGCTTCATTATAAATTATTACATATGAGAGAAAAAATTCTAAAGATAAGTTATTTCCTCACATATAACCTAAGAATGTGTGTAAAAGTCTGAAGTGCACACAATGTATTGAGGTTGTGCAAAGAAATGTTTAAAAAGCAGGAGACTTACACAACACAGAAAAAAAAATAATCTTAGTGCAGAATTCTAACAAGACTTGTTACTTATTTCTTCAGGACTAGAATTCCCTTGAAATAGATATTCCCTCTGCTTTGCTTACTTGGACATTCCTCAGATTTCTAACCAGTCCAAATTTTAATCAGAGGCTATACCTTTTCTCAGCCTCAACTCAGAGCTTATTCTTCCCTCTCTTCCTTCAAATCTGCCTTTATCTTCTTAAAAGTCTCAACTTTTCTGTCTCCAGCTAAAGAAAGGGTGGGATATCTCTTTGCATCTACAAGAATACCATTTGTGAAGTTGCAGATTCTAAGTCTGCAGTTTGCAGAAAACAATGCTTACCGGGAATATCTGAGTTCTACTGGCTGGGGAAGGAACTACATTTACAACATCTCTTCTTTGTAAGATTAACACTTGGGTGAGATGTGTGGAACTCAACTATGTTGCTATGTGTACAATGCCCCCCACCCCTCCGCAGATTCTTCCAGCAACCAAAATATTATCCAGCCTTATTTTAAGGGAGAGGTAGAAAGATATGTGGGGAAGGGGCGACCTGGTAAAATTAGGGAGTTTGAGAGATCTAGGAGGGGAGGGGAAAGTGGGAATCTGTTTCTGTCTCAGATTTTAATTTAAAAGAGAGAAAGGTTTCGGGGCTTTATCTCTATTTCAGATGGCCTTAATGGTGCCTTTGTGGCACCCAATTTCAAAGCAGCCCTAAATGCTTTTCCATTCTGTGCATAGTCATGCCAGTTTAAAATCAATCAAGTCATAGGATCTGTGATTTAGATTTCTTTAATGGAGTGACCAATATAATTATCAGTGCCAGGATGTCTGTAGGAGACAAAGTAAAATGATGAAAACAAAAAACAAAATTTTGATCCTACATTAAAATATTTTAGAAAACTATACCATTAACTGCAATCAGTGTAATACGCCACATTGTCTCACAGAAATCAGTGGCATTTTAAAGCGCTTTGGATGGGTGGAATATTTCTATGTGCACTCATCTCTTATCACAGTATTTATTTATTCCGCTATTTGATGTTGAGAAGGCAGCTGTCAGGCAGTACATTCAATCACGTCAGGCTCCAGGGGGTGAACAACACCGAGAAACCTTTGAAATGGCACTACCTGTCTGAAATGATTTCAGTAATTGAGACTTCTGCTCAGAAAAGCACTTTGGAAAATCATATTATACTCAGATTTTCAGCAAAAAGCACAATCTTTTTTGGAGGGAAGGAGGAAAAAGAGAGGACTCACTAGATCTGTCGGTGACTGTCAAATGATTTAAGCAGACCAGAAGGACCAGCCTTCTAAGATAATCTCCCTTGACAAACTCAGAGGTTAAAAAAAAATATATCTCAGTTTTCTCAAAGGCTGGGCAAAACACATACATGGATTCTTAAACATACATCAGACATATATCAGAATATGACATACTGTGTACTGCCTCTTTAAAATTACATATGCATAAAGATGCCACCTACTGAGGATAGACTTTAGATGCAGACACACAGACAGCCGGACTTCTGATCTTGCTCAGCACTAAAGAAGACGTGTGCTCTGCAGTTCCACTTCCAGGACCAGACAGCATTCTTCATTTCACCTTCCATGCGGTGTTTTTCAAGATGCTCCAATTATTCTGGGGATTACAGCGTATGAAGAAGTCAGAATTTGTCCTAAGCACAAGCTCTAGAACAGGTACCTTCTGATTTGCACTTTATTTTTTTGAATGGCTTTGTTTTTTGTGAGCAAAGTGATTTAACTATGGCATGTACAAGTTTCTATTTTGTTTTGATTGTTTCTTTGTTTACAGTCAAGGCATGCACTGATTTTGAGTTAGGATTTCTCTCTCTCTTTTTTTTTTCTGCCACAGAGAGAGAATAGTTTGAGACATCACTCTTCTCAGACATTGTAGTGATTGGTCTCTAGAAATTATTTACACTTTATTCCTAACTCTCTTTCCTTAGGATGGAATTGTAGGGAATACTTTGATATACAGGTAGTCCCCAGTTTAAGAACGAGTTCTGTTCCCAAGGTCTGTCCTTAAGTCAAATTTGTATGTAAGCCTGAACAGTATTGTTGTATAATACTGTATAACTAGTATTGTGTAATTATCTCGAACCATTATGTATTTAACTTGAATCATTGTGTATATAACTTGAATTTTGCTACAATAGGCTCCTTTTTTAACGATGGGTTGTCCGTAAACCAGGTGCTCTTAACCCGGGGACTACCTGTATTCAATGAAACTTAGTTCTGAATAAGTCTGATATAGATGGTGCTGTTGGACTTTTTTTCCCTTAAATTCCAGAAAAATAATTATGTTACTCAATGCCAACAAAAAAGTAAGAAATATTTGGCCTGGCAACAACCTAATGCCTCAAGAAGCCACTAACAAGCCTTCAATTTTTACTTTGTTCTTTAGACTGACTTAGATGAGAGGTTTTCCTTCCTCATTTGCACCTCTCTGTTGCACATGAAACATGATAAGCAACTGAATTTCCCCAGAGATGTTTCTTATGACAAAATCTAGTTGCGTATTGCCCTGAAAATCCCAATGCATTGTTAGGAAATGATGTTTGCTTATTTATTTAGTTGTTTGATTGTTTATCATGGAATTTATAGTCTGCTCCAATCTATGATGACTTATATTTGATCAGCATAAGCAGAATTATCTTGAATATCCAGATAAAATACCCGATACTACTTGACATCTCCACAATGCAAAATAAGTCCAACTGCTTTGCAGCATTTGGGGTCCAATTGCTCCACTGAGTTTTGGGTGGTTAAATAATTATACATAAAATATACAACCTGATCTTGGCAAATCTGAATATCAGTCTCCCTTCCAGTGATGGAAGCACAGGCATGAGACTACATGAGATTTTGTCACCTATGAAAGGAGATATGAAATTCCTCCCATTCTTTTCAACTCCTATTTCTTTTTCCTGGGGAAATTTACATGATTTCTAACCAGAACAAACAGATCAGATCAAAGACCTCCTTTTACCTGGAGCCCAGAAGAAGCAGCCATTGCACGGCTGTTTCATTGTAACCAACCCAGTTTGAGAGATAATGCTTTGCAAGTCATATTTTTGCAAAGCATTATTTGCTTTATACAAGAGGTAAGTGGCCCAGGTAAATGAACAACCTACGGGTCATAAGCAGAGTGGTGAAGTTTGAGATTCAGTTAGCTCTATGAGTCCATTTTATGGATTCAAGTCAATTGGTCCGATACAGGTGGCCCGATGTACATTTGGGAGACCCACTATTGAAAATGCTCCTTACTCATGAAAGTGGAAAGCCTGTCATGGGCAGGACTCAAATCAGGCATCAGAGAGTCTTACACAAAACTTTGGATAGCAGTTTATGATTTCTATAAACATGGCATCCCCAAGCACCTGGAGAATTTGGTTACCTTGTCCCTACAGGACAAAGACATTGCTTCCATTGCATAGTAAGACTCTCCAACATCCCTTTAACTTTGTTTGTTTAGTGTGATTTATTGAGTTATCTAAGCAAGCTCAGTGATGGAGTCTTTGAGGCTGAGGTAGTTTATTCATGTCAGAAATAAATAAATAAATCTGTTCTGTTGACTTCAACAAAAGGTTGAGCCATTAAAAGTGGTACTGGAAGTATCTACTTCCAAAATAAAATCCTTGCTGGCATGAAACCCATCACACTCAATTTAATTATTTGGGGAGCTAAAATGCAAGAGTGGCAGTTTTGTTTCTCTAGGAGCCCTTCACAGACTGCAAGAGGCTGAAGGAAAAGTCACTGGGATACACTCATTGGTATTTGATGTAATTTACGAGTTCCTCCTGAACATTCATTTTGATGTAGGCACTGGATATATGAGAGGCATACGTTACACAAGTCTAACTATTCCCTTCCCTCTCCTCACTGTTAATCTGTGAGTTCTGCCTTTTGTGAGGAAAATATTCTTACACAATACAACTACCTGAGATAGCCCCTTGTTTGGATATAAAAACTGACCTTGTTTGGCCTGAGAATAAAGAAGTGGGAAAGGATCTTAGAAAAAGATCTGTCCTTTCCAATCTGTGGCATGCCTAGAGATAAACTTAGGTGGAGAGGGTTGCATGTTGTCCCATTCGCTAAGTGAATTTACTTTTTCCCTGACTTGAAAGGTAAGCAATGATACAGCTGCTGTTGAAGATGTTGAGAACATGACTTACAGAACAGTGAGATTTCTCCCATCATGGTGAAAAGATAGAGTTCAATACAGCATCACTGAGGACAAGAGAGACAAGAACAACACCATGAAGCAGGAAGCACATCATCCCAATAATACACACCTGAATACCAACTTCGCTGCTATCTATAGCAACTATATCGGAGACTTCCCTGCTTACCAAAACTTCACCTTCCCTTTCAACTTCAGCTACGGTGATTATGATCTGCTCTTGGATGATGATGATGTGACAAAGACTCGCACTTTCTTTGCTGCCAAAATTGTCATTGGTGTGGCACTGGCTGGCATCATGTTGGTCTGCGGTATTGGCAACTTCATTTTCATTGCTGCTCTCGTCCGTTATAAGAAGCTGCGGAATCTCACCAATCTTCTCATTGCAAACCTGGCTATCTCAGACTTCATTGTGGCCATTGTTTGCTGTCCATTTGAGATGGACTACTATGTGGTGCGCCAGCTATCCTGGGAACATGGCCATATCCTCTGTGCCTCCATCAATTACTTGCGCACTGTCTCCCTCTACGTTTCAACTAATGCACTCTTGGCTATTGCTGTGGACAGGTAAGGGGATATTGGGAAACCGGAATTGACTATAGCCAAGAATTGCTATATCTAACGTACTTGAAATTAATTTCCCTATACCTCTTTTCTCTTTTAAAAAGTGTATGATTTATTGGACTTTGAAGCCTTCCTTCCATTTCAGAGCCCTTCATCATCATCTCACTGAAAGATAAATCATAGTTATCGTTTGGCATCAGAAGGAGAGAGTTATAATAAAACTGCTAGAAGGGAACATCTGACAGAGGTTGCTAGGTCTTGGCAGAGCTGTGTGCAGGATGAAAGTGGGACCATAGACCTGGCAATTAGCAGTTTACCACCACTATCACCCCAGGTTTGGACAGAGGTCTTCCTCTTACACATCTGCCTAGGATAGTCTATTCTGGCTTTCTAAGACTGATACCAATGGGTTTTCTAAGTTTACTCACTTCAGGAATTCCAGTGATCCTCTGTTACTACATTAATGATATGTGATGGCCTTCTGCTTTTTAGAAGTGGTTATGCAGAAGGGAGGAATTCTGTGGTTGCTGGAAATGGTTCTAAAGTAATAAGCTTTTTATTTTCAAAAGCCCAGATCTTTGTTTGTTTCACATGCTGGTATTATTGTCATTTGCAGAAGAAGGTAATTTGCAGACTTAAAGCGAAACATTTTTGAGAATTGTTTTTTGCTCCCAACTGACTACTATCCAGTAGAAATGAGATTTGCTTCTTCAGTTTTAGAACACTTAGACTGAAACAGCATCTTGAACGCATCTCAGATATAAATCAAAGTGCTATTGCTTTGTTTGCCCTAGTGGGGCCTGGCCATCAAGCCATTTACTGTATTTCAAATATTAGATTTTGAAATATCTTGAAGAATTTGAACAGTGTTCAAATATGGAACATAAGTGAGGCTGAAAGGAATATCTTTTCAGTATAATTATTAAGGAGGCTGCAAGGAAACACCAGTCATGAACAAAGATTGCCCAATTTTCCCTCCACAAGGGAATCAATTGTTTCAGGCAACAATCCTACATTAAAGCAATTATGTAAATATGCAGGCTTTTCTTTAAGATTTAAATAGAACCTTGAAGTAATTTATGGGATTCTTCTGCATTTGAAAATGGCAAAGTTTGGATAAAACAGGTGTACATGCTCTATTAGCAGCAACTCTTAGTGTCAATTAGATTCTTTTATGAAAACCGCTCTTGGTATCAGCCTCCCTTCAGATTACTAAACTACAGTCACCATCTCCTTAACCAGCACTGCCCTCTGGCATGCTGTATGTAGCTGGGGATAATGGGGATATAATCCAACTCATCTAGGGAGAGTGCCAAATTGTGGAAGGATTGCCCAGAGGATATCCTATAAAGAAAGCAATCCTTTCTGTTCAAGCATTATTATTTTTTTTGTACAGCAGCTTTTTCTTGGAAAGAGATAAGAGTGTTTATGACATCAGCCTTTGGTGGCCCTTGAAATAACATTCTGATAGCAAGTTTGGAATATAAATTCATACATTCTTCAGCATATCTGTTTTTATAGGCAATTATGTTTGTGATTTTTATGCAGTATGGACTGGTAAATCTGGAAGAATTGGAATTTGTCTTTCTCTTTTAAAATCTGGATCCACCCTAGAGATACCAACTTTATATTGAAATGATGTGATACACCAACATGATTTTCTAAATATTTACATTTTGAAAGGTGCCAGATTAATAGCAATGTGTAGGAAAACCTGTAGATCAGTGTATACTCCTCCATTCAAATAGTTTACTCTGTGATGTAGCAGAAATAATTTTATTACACAGATATGTTATACTACCTGTATCACCATCCGAGATGTTGGATCTGATGTACAAATAATAGGAACCACTTGCTCAGCAAAGGTTAAATAGAAAACATTGTGAGAGCAGTGAAATGGAAAATATTAGGCTACAGCAGAGAAGACTTGGTTACAAAGACAAGATCTGATCTTTTATTGTACAGCCTGACTTTGGAGAATGTCAGTGTAATGTAGAGAGAAAAGGAAGGACTTAAACTGATATTGGATCATTCTTTTCTAAGTTTCTGTGAATAGAAATTCATCCCAGTGAACAAAATTAGTTTTAAAAAATCTGAAGAAGAGGTTAGTACAACCTGATATTTCTTGACGAGCTAATAGAACTGTGTTGTGAACATTGACAAATACAGCAATTCCCTAGGGCTATGCAAAGCTTCAGTGGCTTCAGTCCAATAACCTAATTGAAGAAGATCTATGACCACCACCAACCCCCCTTCCACATGCACGCACACCACATATAAAAGATGAAGCAATTGTGTGGCCCTACATTACTTCACTTCGGACTCCTTCCCTAGCAATTCCAAATGGTAGAAGGCTATTAGAACTGCTGGTCAAGGTTCAAGGTGATACAAAGTGGCTCATCAAGGGGAGCCACATTCCCTCTGAACCTCAGTGAAGCAAACTGTATTTCTCCCCAGTGCAAATCCAGGGTGCTTCACACAGGACTATAACTTTCACACTCTGTCAGTCATCCGAAGGATACAGACTCAGGGTTTGCACATCACACTAAGCCATGGCACCATAAACACCCCATAGTGGCCTGATTCACACCTAGCATAAAGCCATAAACCACGTATTACAAGCATCAACATATGGATGCTTATGTCGTACACAGCCATAAAGTGCAATGGGATGTGGGAATAACCTTGAGAGACAGGAGGAAGAACCGCAGCCTAGACAGTGGTCTGATAAGAGAAATCTGAGTCCAAAGGAGGAATGGGGGTGGAGAAAGTATCTCAGAAGGGACCCTCCCTAGTTCTCTGGAACATAAAGGCAGGGGAGGGGGGAAGTGCTTTCAGACTTGCAAGATTCTGTTACTGTAACCTTATAATAAAAGTAATATCAATATTCATGATTTTGGTTTCCTGGTCTGGACTGACTTGAAGGGCTGACATAAAATGGCTTGTTTGGTATTAATTACCATGATTGGCCAACCACACTTGGGGCTACATCTATGGAATGTTTGTACCCATTACCAGTTTACCTGCATAGCAGTATATTTTGCTAAACCTTCAGGTAACAAATCATTATATATATAGTACAATCTAAGCCTGGATTGCTAACATTTAATAAGCAGGCCATTTCTTGCACTTCTTGCTTTACACCTTCTCATGCCTCACTTTCCACTTCCAGTGATAGCCCAGAATGCTCCCTTTGATTGTCTACCAAAAGACAACCCCAGTCTTGGTGACATTGGCTTCTTTTCCTCTTGAGGTTGTTTTTCTGATTAGGTGTACTGAGTATAGAGGACAGCCTCAAAGGGCAGAGGGAAGAATCGCTACCAAGGCAACACTCAGATAAACAAAGCTTGAGCCCAGCCCAAGAAAGTAGTTTACAAAAACACCGTAGACAGTGCCCTCCCCCCAAATCGCATGAAGCTAAAAGAAGGAGGAAGGGAAGCACATTCAGATTTGCAAGATTCTGTTACTATAGCAGTTCTAATAAAGGTAGCTTTAGGCCTACATGGGGTCTGTTTCTTAGTTTGGTCTACTTTATATGGTGACTCTCCCAGTTCCTGAGCGTTCTAGTCACCTTCTTTTTGCCAAAAGATTCTGACCCAGCAAGGGGCTTTAATGTGTTCTACATGCCACATTGCATTCTGGGGGATTTCCTTTTGGTTTAGTGGAATTTTCCTTTTTTTTTTTTAATAATGATTTTTATTTTAAAAAATTCTCAGGTATAAAAGTTAAACATAATGCAATATAAAGTGAAATTAAAGAAAAGAAAGAAAGGGAAAAAGTGAAGTGAGAAAGTGAGAAAAGTATAAGAGAGAAAATGCAAATAGAATCAAGAAAATAAAAATATATAAAGTAACAATCTTCTTAACAGCAGTTTCAAGCAAACAAATCTTCACACTTCCCTTTTTAAAATTACATATTTCCCTTCTTCCCATATCCAATCCTTTTTAAGTAGCAAATCCATAAATCACCAAATCATTTTTTTTCCCATTTTCAGCAAAAAGTCCATAAAAGGTTTCCAGTCTTTAATAAAAGTACTTGTTTGTCTTGTTTTTGATCAGACAGGTCAGTTTTGCCATTTCTGCTAATTCCATCATCTTCACCATCCATTCCTCCATTGTGAGTATTTCAGTGTTTTTCCCTCTTCGTGCATATAATAACCTTGCTCCAATCACCATATACAAAACCAATCTTCTGGAGGTCCTTTCTAATTGGCTATCCAAAAATCCCAATAGAATAAGTTCTGAATTCATTTGAATATTAATCTTTAAAATTCTCTGTATCAATGTATGTACTTGTATGCAATATTTTTTTGCTTTTGCACAAGTCCACCACCCATGGTAAAATGATCCTTCATGTTTTCCACATTTCCTTTTTTATATATATAATTTTTACTAAAGAATTTTTTACAAAGTTAAAATATATAGAAGTAATGTAGGAAAGGAAGAAAGATGAAGAAAAAAGTATTGAAAACAATAGAGAGCAAAGAAAAAGAGGGGGGGAAAGATACTTAAAGAAGTGACTTCCAGTCTTCTTTACAGCATACTTGATGCCATTTCCCCCCTTCAAGATTACAAAATATAATCTTCTCATGTACAGCCCTTTTTAATCAATAAATCCAGAAATCACCAGTTCATTTTTATCCATTTTCAGGGTTTCCATAAAGGGTTTCCAGTCTTTTATAAAAGTAGTTGCTGTTCCTTCCCTAATCAAACAAGTCTATTTAGCCATTTCCGCAAGTTCTACCATCTTTACAGTCCACTCTTCCATTGCGGGTATTTCTGTATTTTTCCATTATTGTGCATATAATAACCTTGCTACAGTTATCATGTATAAAACCAATTGTCCATGAGTCTTTTTTAATTGATTGTCCATTAGTCCTAGTAAAAAAGAATTCTGGTTTCATCTGAATATTAATTTTTAAAATTCTTGTGTATTTGAATCCAATATTTTTTTAACTTCTTCACAACTCCACCATGCATGGTAAAATGTCCCTCCATGCTTTTCACATTTCCAACAACAATTAGAAGTACCTTTATATATCTTAGATAATTTCTCTGGTGACATGTATGAATGGTACATCATTTTATAAAAATTCTCTTTTAAGTTATAAGACAATGTGAATTTCAGTCCTCTTAACCACATTCTTTCCCATTGATATGTTTTTTTACATTTCCAACATTGGTTCGAAGTACCTTTATACATCTGAGATAATTTCTCTGGTGGTTTAGTGGAATTTTCCCACAAGACATCTAGTTCAGAAAAGATATTGAAAACCAACACCAACTTCTTGTCTTTGGCTAAGTCTTGGCACGTGACCATGTTCTGTTCCTGCTTGACTAAAAAAGTGTTTCTTGCAGAGGAGAATGAACTGGCCGTGTGTATCATACAGAGTGTGCCAGTTCTGCCTATCTGAGTAGCTGGCAACCATGCGATGGGCAGGCATAAGATGCTTTGACTGATTTAAAAGGCTCACATTTCAGGAAAGTGTTGGGGATGCTGTAGTAGGAGGCTGCCAATGAGATTAATCAAGGCTGTAAAGTATCTCCCTGGTTTTATATTATAAACAGCATGACAATGGCTGAAATAAACCCCACTTGGATGTGCTGTAAATAGTGCAGGCACCATGTATGATTGTGACCAGGGTCTGCAGGCTCATCCTGAAATCTGAAGAAATCACGGAAGAATGATCCCAAATTCCCCTGAACAAGTGATATCTTGCTAACATTTTTTTTCTGGAGTTATAATGCCCCTTCTTATGAATCTCTAGGGGTGCTTTATCATTTGATGCTATGCACTGCTACGTTAGTGGAAAGGGTCTTTTGATCAAATATTAGGGTAGCTTCTCCCAACTTGGTGGCCTTCAGGTGTGGATAAAGTATAGTTAGCCATACCCTCTACTGTCAAGAGATGGTGGGAGTAGTAGCCCAACAGATCTGGAGTGTGCCAAGTAGGGAAAGCTGTATTTGGAATCTACAGAGCCATGAGGATGATGGGAATTGTACTCCCCAGATGAAAAAAAAACTATATTAGGGTTTGAATGCAGGATAATGCATGTTTCCCAATCTTCCAATTAGGATTGGTAGCATTAAATCAATGTTACAATGTCTACAATTATATTTCTTAAACATTGGAATGGGAGCAGCTGTATGATACAGACCAATAAAACAAGTTGCCATTTCTGTTAATTACTGTAAGCTAGTTTGAAACAAACAAAACAAGTGGATCGTTTCTAATATAAATTTGGAAACTTCTGTATTTTGCAGGTACCTTGCCATTGTTCATCCACTGAAACCTCGGATGAATTACCAAACAGCAACCTGTCTAATTGCTTTGGTGTGGATTGTGTCCCTAATCATTGCAATACCATCAGCATATTTTGCAACTGAGACGGAACTATTCATGATCAAAAACCAAAAGAAGTTTTTCTGTGGACAGATTTGGCCAGTTGATCAGCAGATGTATTACAAATCCTATTTCCTTTTCATCTTTGGTGTTGAATTTGTTGGACCGGTTTTCACCATGACTCTCTGCTATGCCAGAATCTCACAGGAGCTTTGGTTTAAAACTGTGCCAGGCTTCCAGACAGAGCAGATCAGAAAAAGGCTTCGCTGCAGAAGAAAAACTGTGCTGGTGCTCATGTGCATTCTAACTGCCTATGTTCTCTGCTGGGCGCCCTTCTATGGCTTCACAGTTGTCCGCGACTTCTTCCCCACTGTCTTTGTGAAGGAAAAGCATTACCTGACAGCCTTCTACATAGTGGAGTGCATTGCCATGAGCAATAGCATGATAAACACCATGTGCTTTGTGACAGTCAAGAACAACACCATGAAATACTTCAAGAAGATTATGCTGCTTCGGTGGAGGTCCACCTACTATGGATCCAAAGCTAGTGTAGATATGGACATCAGAACCAGCGCAATGCCCGTCACTGAGGAGGTGGACTGCATTAGACTAAAATGAAATCTTGCCAGACATTGTCTCACAGCCAAGGTTCTATAGCCTCATTCACTCACTCCTTTTCTTTCTTTCCTTTTTTAATATGCCACAATTTACCAGGGAAGGTGCTGTCAAGCAGAGCACAGGCTGAACAAGGTCCATGAAATGCTCCAAAAAGCAGAACCCTAGGAGTCAGCCAGCTTTGCCACAGTCACTCCACTTGGTTGTGATTCAGTTTCTCTAGTGTGAAATTATATTTACACATAGACTGGAAATCAGGAAATGATAGAAAATGGGATAATTCCCAAATCTAAGCTTCTTTCTTGACACTTATCAAAATCCCTGTGGCTTCAGATCAGGACAGGGGCAAACAACGTACCAACTCACTGCATGTGTAAGACAGAGAAAGGCAAGGAGCCTTTTATGATTAACCAGCTGCTTTGTTATGGATCAATGGGCTTCAAAATGCTTCTTATATTATCAGAACCTACCCAAGGACCTCCCTTAAGATGGACACTAGAATGGCTGGAATTAGTCGAAATTTCTGTAAAACTTCTGTTCTGCTCTTTGTAATATTGTTCCTCTGCTCAGTAGTATCCTTTTACTGCAGAAATCTTGTTGCCTATTGATGCCAGTCTTTTATAGATGTATGAATGACGTGTTTTTATTCCTACTGCAGGCTTGATAGTTAGAGCTGCTATATTTTCTCTCAGTCGGCTTCTTCCATTTCTCAAATCTAATGGATGTAGATTTAATTTTCATTATTAGGTCACCTTTTTACTTTTATTTATTTATTTAATTAAATCTATAGGCTGCCCAACTCTATTATGACTCCGATGGGATTGCCTATTGTTTAAAGCTGGTTAACAACAAGCTACATAGGTATATGAGGATCCATTTGGTCTTGAAAGTACTTTAAAATATAATGCCCTTGCGACTTCATAGTACCCTCTGAACCATAGTATTTTGAGATGCCCCCTCCATTCCCATTCTCTCAGAGCAGTGTTTCTCAACCTTGGCAACTTTAAGATGTGTGGACTTCAACTCCCAAGATTCCTCAGCCAGGATGTTGGCTGGGGAATTCTGGGAGTTGAAGTCCACACATCTTAAAGTTGCCAAGGTTGAGAAACACTGTCTTAGAGCCTTCTAAAACCTGAAGCTGGTGGCTTGGTTCAAAAGATACCATTAAGAGGTGAGGTAATTCAAGTGCTGAGTAGAAGGCTGTCGAAATTATACTTGTGGTACTCAGATAGAAGAAAAAGCAATAGAGATCAGTTAACACACATATACATAATTTGGAGAACTGAAAATATATTCCTGGACAGATATAATTCATAGAATAAACTGGGAAAGCTGAGAGGTAGAAGAAGCCCAGGCACTGTGCATTTTATGTAAGGTGCATGTATTCATTTGTACTTTATTACAAATATTTAACCATGACTTGAAAAATGCAAATAATCTGAAACACAGAACAAGTGTTGTCTGATAAACAATGTTCTCTTCTCTCCTGAAACCGAAATGTCCTCCCCCTCCACCAAAATAATGCACTCAAGAAAGTCAGAGAACCTACCAAATATTGTGAACCAGCCTTGCTGAATCTGAACAACCTGCTGATGTGTGGACTTCAACTCCCAGAATTCCCCCAGCCAGCCTTAAGTGTCTGCATGGGTGCAAGGTGACAAATGGCAAATACTTTCTGCCCACTATGTACTTTTGCATGATGTATGTACCATAAGGCAAAGCTTGCATTATAATGTCACAATGCTCATTTCATCATTTTGATTAGGAACAGATAGCTAGACATTTAGCATGGCAATTGCTGAGCATTCTGGGAGTTGAAATTCTACCCATTTGGAGGAAGCCCCAGATTGGGCAAAAGAGTTCTGGGCTCCACCCCCAGTGGCTGCAACAGGAAGGAGAGTTACCCCAACTTGGGCAGAGGAATGCTGAATTATTTATGCCAGACTACCTATTCAGAGATTTCTCCAGGATATTTTATAAGTCATTAAAAGTATCTTCAGTTAAGAAGCTTATGTGAAAGAGCCAGCAACCTTGGATGCCCTGGAAAGAATCAGGTTTGTAGCTGAATATTTGGGTCGCTCTAATCATTTTAACATTCCTACTATTCCCTCCAAATACCATCATCCCACTTGGAGTGTGAGAAGAGATGGTCAGTTCTGGATTATGATTTTTGTTAGTGTGATAATCTTGTCCTTTGTAGCTAAACATATGCAGGTTTACTCAAAATTATCCCATCAAACCTACTTGGACTTACTCCAAAATAAAGTAGGAGTGACTGTAGACTCCACTGGCTGTTTATTATATGCTTTAACAATTCTGTTGTGCAACCCACACTGATAAACTCTACATAAACTTCCAGAAAACCAGTGCCATTATGTTCATCACACTCCTTTGTGATTAATTCTTGAAGAATCTGCATTGTTGAAACAGACGATAGCAATCAATGAGGGCCTGAATGCAAATCAGGATAGTTGGCTTCATTTTTTGTGATTCAAGGATTTCATATTGTACTGCTACAAACATTGGTTATTTTGTAAAGCTAGTTTTGATGTCAAGTGGAGCTTTTGTACCTTGGTCCTGTCTACCTATGAATCAATATGGGAGAGAAGGTTCACAATGCTCAATAAAATGTTAAGATTTGACAACCTGCAAGATGCTGCATGCCTATCAACAGTTTTTAAGGCTTATTTGAAAGGGATTTATCTCAAATACATGTGTTTGCCACCTTTTCCCCATCTCTTTTACCCAGAACTAGTGGTAATAACAGTCTCTAGATTAAGTTGGTCCCCCTCAATTCTAATTTTATATCTCATGGGGGGAGGGGGAGTAAGTCAGCTCTACTTGGTTCTATGAGTAGACCAACAAAAATGTTTGCTTATTCTCAACTTCATATAGCCCCTTTCTTCTAGTAATGTGCAAGCTGCTGGTTGTCTCAATCACACTGGAAAAGGAATAATTTCCTTCTGATCTCTTTCCTAAAAACCCACCCTGGGGAATATCGGAAAAATTATCTATCAGCTCTATTGGAGCTTCCGTCTTCACATTCCATTGCAATCCTACTTTTCAGAAGAGTAGCTACATTATTTGGCAGCAGAAAAAAGCCTTGTGGTATCTTAAATGGTAGTAGTCTTGTGCTAGGTTTCAGATTTATTGTGGCTTTATTATGAGAAGCTGTATCATTCAATGCACAAAGTACTGTCCTCAAGATTATGCATGTGTATGTGTATGAGAGTACGTGCATGTATGTGTGTGTGTGTGTCTGTGTGTAATAGAATCATAGGGTTGGAAGGGACCTTGGATGTCTTCTAGTCCAACACCCTGCCCAAGGCAGGAGTGTTCATACCATCTCAGACAAATGGTTGTCCAATCTTTTCTTGAAAACCTCCAGCGATGGAGCACCCACAACTCTGGAAGGCAATCTGTTCCACTGCTTAATAGTTCTCACTGTCAGGAAATTCCTCCTTATTTCCAGATTGGATCTCCCTCTGGCAAGCTTCCACCCATTGCTTCTTGTCCTACCCTGAGGTGCTATGGAGAATAAATCTACACCCTCTTCCCTGTGGCAGCCCTTCAAGTATTGGGAGACTGCTATCATGTCTCCCCCCAGTCTTCTCTTTGTTAAGCTAAACATGCCTAGTTCCTTTAACTGTTCTTCATAGGATTTAGCCTCAAGGCCCCGTATCATCTTTGTTGCTCTTCTCTGCACTCTTTCTCTTTTTGTGTTGTGGTGACCAGAACTGGACACAGTATTCCAAACATATTCTATGACAAGAAATATATAGAACTTAAACACAATAATTATAGGTGTCTACAAGGGAGGGTAAGGAAAACTGGTGACAAAACCTGCACCACAGCATCATAACGCAAATACCATAACTTACATACTTGCATTAGATGTCAGGACTCAAGGATCGGGTATATATCCTTTTCCCATCATCATGGCTTGCTGCAGATGCCTATGAAAGTGACCATCCTTAAAAATAGTTAAGAGTAATGATAACACTAACTTTCTAGCTTTACTGGATTTATTTAGCAGTGGGAGAGATAATAGAAACAATGGCCCAATTAAAATCTATTTAATTAATGGTTCAACCATGGAACTAATTACTCAGAGAAGAGAGGGTTTAGATGTGCTCAAGTAGAAGCTGGATAGCATCCATCATAGTGCAGGGGTTAATTTAAGCACTTATTCTTCCTTATTACCCATCATCTGTGGTCTTGCCCAGAATCCCCAATTTAGGAATTAACTGTGAGTGCTGTATGTGTATTTTGAATGTTGATGTACTGAACATGACATACACAAACACAGATAAACAGTACAAATCCCTTCATTAAAACTATAATGATGAACAATATAGCAAAATATATGCTTAAGCTAAGGTCTTATGCTTCATGCATGATGATACATTCCCTTGTTAGAAACAGATAAAAAAACATACAGATATTGAAATGATTCCTCCAGTCATCCTCAGACCAGGTGTAATAAGCCCTGAAGACCTATCAATACCTCACCCAAAATACATCTCCCAATAGCACATAAAACATGTACTGATAAGAGCATCTCTGAGTTGCAGCCTTCTCCTTTCTGTCATGCATAGCATGCACACACACACACGCACACGCATAGTAGAGATGTTACTTAGGTATACCATGGTGTATCCATAACTACCCACACAACTGCATTCTGGATTAACTGCAGCTTCTGAATGGTCTTCAAGGGCAGCCCCATGTAAAGTGTATTACAATAGTCCAAACAGGAGGTCACCAAGGCATGAGTAACCATGGGCAGGACTTCCTGACCTATGAACTGGTGCAATTAGTGCATAAGAGTTTTGTGGAAAGGCCCTCATGGCCATGGCTTCCACTTGCTCTTTCAACAAGAGCCAAGAGTCCAAGAGAACTACCAAATTGTGCATCAATTTTGTCTGCGGGAGTTTAACCCCATCCAGAACTAAAGATGGAGAGTCCCCAGACTCGTTGTTGTTGTTGTTTAGTTGTTAAGT